TTAGTCTTAAATTTCAGCCTCCTAGACTCCGTGGTTCCCGAGATATTAACTTACCCGTGAACAACTATCACGGGGCCGTACTTGTTACCCGTGGGTAAGGGAAGGCTGAATTTGAATGGGCAAGGTTGAGGGTGGGCAGGGGGTCATTGCCTTAAAATTTCAGCCTCCTAGACTCCGAGGTTCCCGAGATATTAACTTACCCGTAAAAAACTTTCACAGGGCCGTGCGCGTTACCCGCGGGTACGGGGGAACCTGAATTTAAATTTGCGGGGTCACATGTGGGTGAGGAACGTTACCCTAAATTTCAGCTTCCTAGCTTTTGTGGTTCCCGAGTTGAAAGTTGTGGACAAGTTGCTGCGGACACACACACAGACAACCCGTAACAATATGCGTTTTGTACTGCTGTTACACAGCACAAAACGCATAAAAAGAGATTCGTATTGACGATCAGTACTAACGTAGCGGCATTTCTTCTAAGGTATTTTTTATCTGTTCCTTGTCCAAACAAAATGGTAATGCACGACGAATGTCTCAAAATGGCTAAAGCGTAGAAACCGGCAACCCTTAAGAAAGAGAAGCAAATATCAGGTTCATCAGCAGGCTGGTCATAATGCGATGCAGCACCGGTCAAAGCATCTTTTTCCCCACACATGCAAAACGGCAGTACTAGATATTCCAAGAATGTTTTACCTGATAATAGCCTGTATGATAACCGGACATGTACCAAGACATCAGCATACTAGATAATGCTTCTTCTTCGTCCGGGCGAACCAAACCAGCAAATGCTATTGGTGGAGGCGGTGCGACAGGTGGGATCTGAAAGTCGCTACTTTTTTACCAGCACTCTGATTTCGATTATGTATTCTTGGCTCGGATTCACTTATGCCTGTGTGCTGTTGCTTAGTCTAAGGCCCGTTCGTCACTTCCTGTTAACGAACTCTAACAGCCAATTTCTAATGTATCAAACCGTATTATCCTGGATTTCTGATTCTACCGATTTCTAGGTACAACAATTTAACTGTCAAAAGCGCCAGGGTCTGTATGCATATCTACGTTTCATTAAGCAATAATGAGCAAGAATAACTAGAAAGGTAGTAACACTGAAAAAGAGAACACCTGGCCAGAACCGCGCTTGCCTTTTAGTACTGCAGTTGCTAAAAGGCATGCGCGGAGAAACCGGCGAAAAATTTAGTCAGTAAAATGCAAACGTTGGAACCGGCAAAATTCGTTCGGAAAGGGCGATTTCCATAAAACAAAACAAGTAAAAACAATAAAGCGTAAAACTCGAATGAAAAATTTAAATTTTAGTTCTCCAACAACAAGTTTGGAAAGTCATTCTTATGGAAAAAGACACACACGGATGTAGCACTGTCACCTGATTTTGTCAAAGCACTATCTTTTTTTTTTTTTGGAAACTTAGCAATACTAATTTTATCATGGAAAATGGTAAAATCAGTCAAACAGAGATTTAAAAAACTTCGGAAGGGGCAATCTCGAGAAAATTTAAGAATTCAAAATTCTTTATTCCAGTCGCTGCCATAAAAAGACCCATTAACGGCGCCCAGCGGAAAAATTCTATAAGTGGCCATGAACAATTTTGTACGAAGAGGAGCACAGCTTACCAAACAATCGTCATGCTGGTCATTTGGTAGAATTGGCCTATTACCATGATGTTTTTTGATTTGTGTGTCAGCTGTTTTTGAATCTTTTTTTTTTCGTGATGATTCTGCTGGCGATACATTTTCATCCGACTGCCCATTGACCTCGCTGCCAGCAAGCCTGCACATTAAACTACTGCGAATGACACGCAACAAAAACAACAGCAAAGAAAACGGAAAACACCAAAAAGCCTAATGTTGACAGATGAGTAATGGGGAAGGAAAAAGAGGCAATAACATCTTAAATCATTACGATGTCACAATTTTACACAGCATCTTATACATTCAGAAACTAAAAATCTGGCGCTGAATTGAGGAGAAGCGCAT